GAAGGCGATGTCATGCTCACTGAGCTCTAGGGCCCACTTCATCAGTCGACCCGACGTTTCAGGCTTGTAGAAAATCTGCCTCAAGGGGAAGTTTGTTGGAACGATTATCTTGTGCGCCTGGAAGTATGGTCGTAAACGTCACACCGAGGTTACCAAGGCTAGAGCCAGCTTCTCAACACAGGGGTAACGAGCCTTGACCTCGGTCAACGATTTGCTTGTGTAGTAAACAGGGCTCTGCTTTCCTTTCGCCTCCCTGATAAGTACTGAGCTCACTGCGTTTTTCGACAGTGCTAGGTACAGGTAGAGTACATCGCCAGGCAGCGGCTTGGACAACAAGGGAGCCGAGCTGAGGTACTGCTTCAACTGCCGAAGTGCGGCTTCGCAATCGTCGATCCATTCGAACCGCTCCTTTTTCCTTAGCGTTTGGAAGAAAGGGTGGCACTTGTTAGTGGAGCGAGACACTTGTTAGTGGAGCGAGATACGAAGTGATTCAGGGCTGCCAGTCGGCCATTCAACCTCTACAGCTGCTTAAAATTCCTCGGTGCTTCCATCTCGAGGACTGCTCTTATCTTATCCGGATTTGCTTCAATGCCGCGTTCGTGGACCATGAACCCAAGGAACTTTCCTGACGAGACCCCAAAGGCGCACTTGCTCCGGTTGAGCTTCATCTGATACTTCCGAAGCACACTGAAGGCTTCTACCAGGTCGGCTAAATGGGAGCTCGTCTGCTTACTTTTTACCAACATGTCGTCCACATATACTTCCATGTTGAGTCTGATCTGTTTGGCGAACATCATGTTGACCATCTGCTGGTAGGTCGCCCCGACATTCTTCAGACCGAAAGGCATGACGTTGTAGCAATACAGCCCTTGATCGGTAACAAAGGCGGTGTGCTCTTAGTCGAGGGCATGCATCCGAATCTGATTGTACCCGGAGTAGGCATCCATGAAGGAGAGGAGTTCATGCCCTGTCGTTGCGTCGACGAGCTGATCTATCCGAGGTAAGGGAAAACTGTCTTTCGGGCACGCCTTATTGAGACTCGTAAAGTCAATACAGACACGCCACTTGCCGTTTGACTTTTTAACTAAAACAACATTAGATAACCACGCGGGGTAATGAACTTCTCTTATGAATTTAGCTCGTAGCAACTGCTCGACTTCTTTACAAATTACATTACTTCCCTCGGCGTCGACAGGCCGACGCTTTTGCCTCACAGGTCTATAGCTAGGATCTACATTAAGCCTATGCACCATTATACTTGGGTCTATGCCCGACATGTCGTCATGAGACCATGCAAACACGTAAGCGTTTGCTTTCAAAAAACCGACGAGCTTTTCTTTTACCTCGGCCCCCAATCTGCTGCCGACGCTGACCTGCTTTTCTGACCCCAGCAGGGGGATAAGTTCTAGCTCTTCAGCTGGGGTACCGCGGCTCTGGTCTGGTTCGTCGGCGCATGGCTTTGCCGCGTCCATGACCGCTGCATAAGTGGCTATTCCCTTCATCGCAGTG